TATTCACAAGATTCCAAAATAAAATGTTTTACGAATGGTAATATAACTTACGCAAGTAGGCTGCCAGTGTCCAGAGACTGTTTTCAAATCTCTTTTTGGTCCAAACAATTAGTATATATACACCTAAATATAAAAATTATAATTTGAATTATGACTATCGAAGGGTTAACTTTGAACTACGTACAATTTTTGTACGTATATATGCACATACTAATTGCTTGTAGCAAAATAAGAATTTGATATTAGTCTTTTTTAGATGATAAACGGGAATGTAGATTTTCAATTTAGTCGATAAAAACACTGATATTAAGAGAGTGGAAGTTAGAAAAAAATAGAATGACTTTCGCAGAAGCCCGAGATTGCTATTTTGCTATATGTATATATGAGTATTCCGTGCACCCGTAGTTTCACAGCTACTTTGTAACCAGTCGCACGCAAACCAAATATTTTCAGAGCTTTATATCCATTTGTTTACGAATCCACTCCTCTTGTCTTGATCTTGCTGAGCAATGAGAGCGCAGATCAGTTTTTGAAAGTATAGAATTTTTAAAATTACGTAAAAAAATAATATTGAAAGTATTAGGAATTACGTGTATGGGATAATTTACAAGTTATTTTGAAGTACATTATAAATAAATGATTCCATAATCTTTCAAAGTTTTTACTTCTCTTTTTAAAATATTTCCTATTTCACAGAATTCGATTTCATAATCTTTTGTAAGTTTTATTTAATTTTTGTATTTCAATGTATTTTTTGTATCTACTCAGGATAAATAAACCGACATTGAATTTTATAAGATATTATTTGTAGATAAGAGAAAAGTTACTTTGATAGAATAAAGTTGGAAAATATCTATTATTAAATTGATTTTTTAGGATTGAACGAATAAAAAAAATGTTTAACTGAGAATAAGTTTTTTAGTACCCTTAAACGTAATTTAATTTTTCTTACTATGCTGCCAATAATCTAACAAGAAAATCAAGCTAAACATAAAAGTTGATTTAGCTAGTTTATATCCATATTGAAAAGCAATCTTCAGAGCAACAACGCTATCGCATGTTGTCAACACTGGTTTGCCGGTGTGAAAAATCACAAACTGTTTAGCTTCTTGTCTACTTCTATTAAAATGTCTTCTTTAGCTTCTTTGATTATGGATGGCGATTCCAAAATATAATAATTTCACATTCACGTGAATAATGATAGATATATATATTAAAACTTTATTAACCCTAACTACACGACTGGCTATCATGACGATCAAACAACTGACTCACTCGCCGATAAACAATAAAACTATCAACTTAGCAATCCTTCGTTTTTCTTTTATGAAGTTTGAACGACTCATTATAAAATATAAATAAACAGATCAAAATAAGAACAGCAAAATTTGAAGATTGGAGCTTTTGTACGTAAATTTCAATATTTCTGACAAGCATGCTATATAAATAAATTCCAATCTTAAAATTGCGAAACTCTTGTGTTCAATCTATTTTTCACGTCCGCACCGTCTTCTTTTTCATTCAACGAAATGAATGGATGAGACTGCAGATCTTTTCTTATCGAATTACTCGTTAGAAGTTCTCAGCTCTTTTGCCTTCTCGTATTCTCTTTTTTATTCTAGTAGACGTTGATCCCTCGTGCCACTTGGATAAGTTCGTTAGCTTGTTTTGCCGACTTGCTAGAGGATTCTTTTCCCCAGCCAAGACGAAGGCGTGAGCCTAATTTCAACAACAGAAAATACTTGCAACGTCTCTTTTGGCTGAGTTATACATGAGTTCTTTGATTCGTTCCCTTTGAGCCATTTTTTTATTTTATAATTTAATCTAATGAGAACAAGCGTTGTAGCTTTTTTCGATTTTTTTCATTATTATATTTTGTGCTGATAAGCCAATTAAACAAAAAATTCGACATTTTCTTTGCATCGAATTTTTTTCTCAATTTTTTCGTATACACTTTTTATTCCTGTTTCATTTACTGAACTAGAATGAATGTACTATTAATATTTTTCGTACTTGTTCTCATTGAATTTAATCTATTTCCATCAAGTTTGCTTACTATCTCGATATTAAAAACTATTTTTCACGGCGATAGTCGGAAGATGAGAGATATCGTTGCTCTAATTCACTGCGACGAGAAATTCTTCGAGCATAAGAGATGAATTTGCATGCAGGAAGGAATCTCGCAAGGATAGATGAAACCTAGTCACTGAAGCTACGGGAGGACGTGAAAAATGGATTTCCTTGATGCATCAACAGCTTTTCTTGAAATATGTATCGAGTACAATGTTGAAATATTTTGACAAACTTGAATATTGATTACTTTACATTTTTTTTAAAGGATAAATAGCTACGTAAAACGGGTTTGAAATGATACAGTAAGATTATTAAAATTTAAGAAATTCTTATTAATTTCAGTGCTACTTTTGGTTATATCGCAAACTTATAAACTTTAAGTTTTAAAACGGTAAATCCATAAAAAATTATGCAAATTATTTAGTTTTATACTGTCGCCTATGGAGTAAGCTTTATAATTTTTGTATTTTTATAACACGGTATCGTTGTAACTGTGTTTTCCAAAATATAATAGATACATATCAGTGGACTTGTTCTTTTTTATTTTCAGAATAAGTGATCGAGTAAGTACAATCAAATGATAAGAACCCAAGAACCACTTGACTAGTGATAATTGTAAGTTTTTTTTCACCCTTTTCCGCAAAATTATTAAGTTCCTAACGACGAGTGAAAAAGTAGAATTCTATTACTCTGCACGGAAAATCAACATCATCTGTGAGCCAACGTAATTCGTTTCTCCCAAAGGATCGAGCAGTTCTCTCTCTCTCTCTCTTTCTCCCTCTCTCTCTCTCTCTCTCTCTATCTCCCCCTCTCTCTCTCTCTCTGTTTCTCTCTCTCTCTCTCTGTCTCTCTCTCCCTCTCTGTTTATCTATCTATATATCTCTCCCTTTTTGCACCTAGCAGCGTCGAAGAATTGATTTTTCTTAATTTTCTCGTACCGTGTTTGGAAAATCACCAGTTCTGTTTCCCCACTGCGCAACAGCAAGTCAACCGTTGGCTATTATATATTTATTTATTGCGATTCGTTTGACCGTTCTGTGGTTCTTTTCATTTCTTTTCTATCCTTTGAACTAGCACAATTCGTTGTTTTGCTTCTTTCATTGCGTTGTTTCTTGCAGTCGTACCAGTCGTGCGATCTTTCTCTCTCCTTTTCTTCATTTTCTGCTATTATACCTTTGGTGGTCCCTTTCTTTCGCTTGAAATTGTTTTCCGATTTCGGACTGCTACTAAAGAAACGTTAGATACGGTAGCACAACGAAGACGACTGTAGTCACAAATCTCGTACCTTCTTTCTTACTCTGATCTCGTCAGTACTTGGCTTCAATCGCCTTTACATTGTCCATCTTTCATTCTTTTATTTTTACCGTACACTTTTGTACATCTTCTTCAAGTTCTGTTTAAAGTCACTTTATACCTGAGCTCATACTTCGTTCTATTTGATACATTCTACGTAAATATATTATTAACTTGAATGTTTTCATAAAAAAAAAACAATTGTTCTTATCAGTTATTTTTTCACTTAAATGCTTCTCTTGAATGATTATGTAGATTAATATCTATTTAAATACATTAGGGTAAAGATGAACCAAAGATAAAAAAATATACGTGACAGTTTTTATTTTTTTGAATTATTCTTGATTAGTTGAAACTAAGACAGGTACCAAGCGCAGTCTTAAGTTGCGTGTACAACATGCAGTTTTGCACGCTGGGCAACACAGATTTCAAGAAGGAGGTCGAGTCGCAAACGCGCCAGAAATCGTGCACGTATGTGTGTGAGTGTACATAGTCGTGACGACAAGCGTTTACACGAGAGCTTCGTTTCCTGATACGCGAAAACGGCTTGTGAACATGTGCGACCGCAAGGAGGGGGTATACACGTGCGTGCGCCACTATATACTACTGTTGCCCGGCGCCATCTTAATTGCAGTTGAGTTTATCGTGTTGTTTGGGAAAATGCAGACTGCTACACGAGCACTTTATATATATATGTCTCGTGGTTGTGCTGCAGCACCCCCTTACACGTACGTGTGCTTATATTTACTCGGTCGTCTTAACGAACGTTTAATGATTATTTCGAACACGCATGATTTGCTCATTTGTTTTCTTTTTGCATTTGGATAAAACTAAGTGAGAAACATACATTATGTTAGTTTACATGAATGTTTTTTATATTTTATACTTCTATAAACAGATAAACTCTATCTCCATTCACTCATGTCGCATTTCTTATTTTTTTTTGTTTTATATCTTAATCAATTTTATTTTCGATTCATGTACTGATTAGGATCAAGTAATTATTAAAAAAATTTCCAAATAGTATGTCAGCTTATTATCTTACACCATAACCACATTCACACAATCTCATCAATGAGCAAAATCATGAAAAGTTCAACATTCACGAATTCATTTCCTTTCAAAGAAAGCAAAAGGGAAGTTTTTCGTATTTTTACATCAAAACTTAGCGTACAAAGTCCCATGTTCTGCTCAATAATTTATGAAAAAAAAAATCCAATCCAATGATTGATTTCGTTCAATTTATGGCTGTAATAACAAGATTTCTGTCTTTACTTTGGACGCTAATGAGATAAGAAAAAAGTTGAATGAAAATCCATCTCAGTACGTTGGAAGCTCTGCTAAAATTAGTCTCTATAAGTATATATAAGTTCATTGAAAAATAAAGAAGGTTTCAGTATACAACCTACGAGAGAAATACAGAAAAAGCGTGCGCGAGAGAGAAGACAGAAAGAACGAGGAGAGCCCGGTCGACGAGCGAGGGTGCGTTAGTAGCATGCTCGTACCGTCTGTGCGCACTCGTGCGCGTGAGGCGGCGGTGGTGGCGGCAACGGCAGCCTCCCTCTCCCGAAGAGCTCTGACGGGGCGCATGCTCCTACGGTCGAGAATCAGCCCAGTCAGGGAAAGTCCGCCGCCGTATCGAGACGCAGCCCATCTCTGCCCTCGTCGCGCTCTTTTCTCTCTGTCTCTGTTTCTCTCTCTCTCTTTCTCTTTCTCTCTCATCCAACTGTGTGTTATTGTATGTGATAAAAGTAAAGTCGACTTCCATGAGTTAGAGTCACACAAGTGCATGTGAAATGCGACCTCTTTAACACAACTCTCTGGTTATTTTTTTTTTTTTTTCATAATAAATAATTCGTGTGATCGTTTAATCAAGTGTGCTTCTGTTCTATTGAAAGATTTGGTCGATTATAAAATGAACGCGGTATTATAAAACCGTTGAAGCGCGTTGTCTCGAAAGTTTCACGAAAGTTTATAATTAGTGGGACAGCGCAGTGCGATAAATTGAGATCACGCGGTTGGGAGTTTGGAACGGGCCTGGCTGGCCTAATGAGGGCCGAGTGCATAGCAAACTTCGATACTTTCGATCGGATTACAGAAACGACGTTCAAACGGCAGTGCCAGGCGATGAGATGAGTGCCGATTTATAGCAGAACTAGATATACAAGAAGTCCAACATAAAATCAGTCGATTTGTCTCCAACAACTCCCTACCCTCAGAGGAGTTTGAAATAGCCGAAAGAAAGAGATAGTAAAGAAGGCAGTAAACAAGGAGAAGGAACTTGGCCAAGCAGAAAGTTTGTACGTCGTGGGTGGCATTGCTGCTTTGCATCTTTACGAGTATTCACTACTGTTCCATGGACCCCGAGGGTCGTCGAACTAAAGGTTGTTATCCAGCTGACTCCTCGTTGTTGTTATTGTCCAACGTCAAGCACAGCCAAAGACATGGCTCTTCCGACAGGCACGTGCGATTCGATCCATGTAATCTCATACAAGAAGACGTCTAGTCGATGATCTGCAAGTCCGAGTACTACAGCGAGCCAAGGTAGACTCAAAGTATCGCGAGTAGCCAATTAGAAACCAACACCAAGATCCTTGTGAAATATGGCTCTGAGATGGCAGGCCAAACTCTACATTGCTGCCATACTCTTCATATGCACAGAAGGTAATTGCCCAAACCACCACTAAGTGCCTCAATTGCGGCTGTGGCGGAGGCGACTAGCAAAGTATGCCGCTTTGTTACAACCAATGACTGCGGGCTCACACTCATTAAAAGTTTTTCTGATGCTCTCTGATACTCACACCGCGAGCTATTATTCTCTTTTGACATTTTTGAAAGTTCTTTTGTTGATACGCGGAAACAAGCGAATTGGGCCAGACAGTAAACACATTTTGAACACTTCAACTTGTTTTTATTCGACGAGACAAGCAACCTTTCAAGCTTATAAAGCTTTTGAAATTTGCACAGAGATTCTGATTTACTTTCAATTATGAGTGATTGGTGCTTTTTCAGAATTAGTATAGTTCTTGAGAGACATTGTTACAACTTATTGATTTCATTTGTTTTAGAGTTCTAATAAAATTGTCATATAAATTAGATTTATTCTCAATACAATAATTACAATAATTTCCATAATAGCACGTGTATCTCGAATAATTATTTTTAACAATTATACTAATAATAACGTGTAATATTATTTTGTTGCTTTCAATTACGAATCGACATTAAGCTGATTATTGTACGATCGCTATGCACACGTATTCATTCATGCGTGGCTTGAAATTCATAAAATTGATTGATGGGATTATCGTCGAATAAATGCATTACAGCTTAAAATTCCCTACTGAGTTGGTCCGATATTTTAAAAAGATGATTTTTAATAAATTGATATTACAAATGAGCTTTGAATTGCAAGTAATGCCTTCGTATTATTCAACACATTTCGAGGGTAACTCCACTGTAAAAAAAAATCTGTAAAAAAAATCTGAATTTTAAAGATGTGATTTAGTAATAATTAGAAAAAGTATATAATACTGAATATTTATATTGGAGAGAATATCTTAAAATTGTATTGACGGAAATATTTTAATGCTCGTATTGGTGAAATATAGAAGGTGGTAAATTGCATAGCAATGAGGAATTAAAATATCGTGAATATTCCATTTTCTTCCTTTCACATATCTCGAAATATTTGCTTTTCCAAAAAAAAAAAAACAATAAGCCACGTTAAGAGGGCCATAAATCCAATTTCAAAAATTATCCGTACAGCCATGTTTCCCAAGTGTGAAAATACTTCATCTTCAGCGAAAACTTTTAAAGACTTCAACGATTCGCAGTGTTTCAAGCAAACTCAATATTCAAACTAGCTGTACTTTTTCCCTCAGCTTGCGCGCGAGTACCGTCCTTTTCTCCAACGCCCCATCATTTTCTATTACGCACTTGCTCAGTTTTCAATATTTTCCAGACGCTTTTAAATCATCATTTCTGGTTAAAGCGTAAAATTAAATTATACATGATTTGCCTGAGAGAAAGCTTTGTTTATTATTTTCCTTCTTGATTTAAATCTGTTCAATTCTTCGCTAATTTATAACAGTTCAATTCAATTCCTAATAATTTTAAAGTAAACATAAATTTGAATAAATAGACATGCCCGGGCTAATATGAATATATTTATACACAGAACTTTTTCTGAAAGTATTATATATATACTATATACAGTACTTTTTGACATTTTTTTAACAAAGATCCGTTTGATCTATGAATAATGGAATAAATAATAAATAATAAGACGTTAACACATGAAACACTTCTTATAGTGTAAGCTTGAACATCAATAGTTTCAATTATTTTGTTATAATGTAATATATGAAAAATGAATTTTATAATTCTATTTTAACACATTTTATACCTCGACATATTGAGCAGGGCATCATCATTTATAATTAAGTAATTAGTATATAACCAAATTTAGCTATTACTATTCATTCAATAATCGATGCTTAGTATTTACCCTATATTATGAAAAAAATCCAGTATTGAAAGATCCTTTCGATATATTTTTATCGATTTCAGTTTCGACTTAAACTTAGAATTCGAATGCCAATTATTGACGACAAATAAGTAAATTGAACACTAATGGATGCATGTAGCGTGTATGATGTGTCTAATGATATGAGAAATGATGTTTTTTTCGAACAGCTAGTAAATTTTAACCAAAATAATTGTTTACTAAAATATCTTATAGAAACAATATTCAACCGTAAAACGAAATTAAAAAGAGAAAATCTTCGAAAAAAACATAAATACGTCTACATATATTTCTACTATTCTTATATACGGTAGCATTAAGATGAATCACCAGACGCAAATTAAAGACGTGACGGAAACTTTAGTCGGTCGCAAAAAGCTTGCGCATATGTATAAAGCGGGAAACCTCATTCCCCTTCTCAGAGCCACTGAATCGCAGATGTTCGCACTTCGCCGAATTAACTTAAGTGCGCCGGAGTCTGTTGCTGTAGGCGCTCGTGTGATTATGTTTAGCGGTGCCACGAAAGTCGTTCGCTCTCTCCCTCTCGGCTGCTCTTTCTTGCAGAGCTGTTGGAACGAGGTGCAATGAAACGAAGTGTAAAGTGACGCGAGAAACGACTATTTTTTCTCTCCTAGCTCGCCCGCGAGATTACCTTCAACTTTATAACCAAACTCAATCTCCTTCCCTCCGTTCTTATTGCCCTGTAATTTGATAAGATCGCGAGAAAAGCAAAGCAGCAATACACTTTATAGTTGCGCACTTGAAATGCATTTCGATATTTTCCAGTGGTTCAACCCCGTCTATGTGTGATTTTTCATTTGCTGAAACAGCAAATTCAATTGGAAAATACAACGTCTGATTCATAATTTCAACGTGGCGTTGTCGACTTTTCTATATTGTTTATAATTTCATTTTATAGTACCACAGAATTACATGTAAAAAGGATTTGAATTTAAAACCTTTTTTGAGAAAATCATGCATAATTTAATTGCTCGCTGTAAGCAGGAAAGAGAAAATTATTGAAAACTATGTGAGCAAAGATCGTTAGTTGTTGTGAATTGTTCATTTGTACTAAATAGAGTACATTGTTAATTTTGAGTAGTATTATTATAATTATTGAATAAACCACATTCAATTCAAAGTTTATAGTAATTATACTGTACAGAAATGTTAGCCAAACGGTACAATAAGTCCAAAATTAATTTAGCAAATGAATTCATTAAATATTAATTAAACTTGTCATCGGTTAATATTTACAACTCCGTTCTTACTATTTTTTTAAATCCATAAAATATGAATATTTTCAAAAACATCTCATTTTCAGTTTGTTCAAATTTCGTTGAAATATCCTTGTTAAAGAAATACACCAATGTAGAGGATAATTAACAAGAGTATTGAAACTTTTTTACATAATTTATCGATCTAATCGACGAATTGTACTTTATTTATTTTCAACAACCAACCGAATGTGAATTAATGACAACAAAATTTCATTTATAAAAAAAATCGAATAAACACTAGAAATTAATTTTTAGTTATTTTAAATACGCACCGCAAACATAAATTAATTTTAAAGAGAAAAAAATCCTTACAATCGTTTATTTCATCAGCAAAGCTTGAATCTTGTATGAATACGGGGTAATATACGATGGCGATTACGGCGGCTCATAACCGTACATCTGGTCATGTCGCGTAGAGCGCCGCAGTCGTTCTTTAAAAGTTAAGCGGCTTTTCGTGCGCGCGCTAGGAGATTCAAAAATTTCAGCTGAAAAGACCAAAGAGTCCTACTTGCATCCCAGCTAATGCAAAAAGTTGGCGCTCATGTCTTTCGGGATTAAATTTGGTATTCGTTCACTCGACGAAAGCTGCGCACTGTCCAACCTAGTTACAGAGAATAGTCGCATATCGAATCGGATGCCGGTATACATATGTTGCTATCTCTTCTTCGACTTTCATATTATAATAACTCTTGACGTATCTGCCGTTGATTTAAAAGTGACTTAAAAGTAAAAAAGTGATATTTACAGAGTCCTCTCAAAAGTTCAATATATTCATTTTTATTCAATTTTTATGATGAATTTTCATTGACGTTATCTCAGTAGAAAATCTTTAATTTCAGTCGTGCAAGGTGTCAAATTGAATTTTTTGATTTCTACATTACTTTTTAGGGTATCTTGTTTCAAAAAATAAACAACTACCAGTTCAAGATATAAATAAAAGAAATTAGTCATACTTTTAGTAATTTACAATGACTACTTCAATAATGTGGAAATACCGAAAAAATTAATTCCAGTGAACCTTTTTAAATTAAATAATATGAGAAAAAATTCGGAACACTTAGAAAAAGAAAAGAATATTTCATTTTAGACCCAAGAAAAATGAATTTTTTAAATAAATTTTATTATACCTACAGATCGTAGACGACCCTTTTATCAAAAAATTAATTTCCTGTTTGATTGTTTCTTTATTTTATTTTGTTGCAATTTTTTATATTTTTCATCTGCAGATTTCTCTTATTACTATTTCACATCTCTACCTAGATAGAAAACCATCAAATCGAAACAAACGAAATAGAAATCGTTGATATACAAATGTTAGCGCATAGTCAATATTCAAAGAGGAAGGAAATATGTATAATCGTTTATTTCATCAACAAAGCTTGAATCTTATATGAATACGGAGTAATATATAACGGTGATCACGGTGGCTCATAATATAATATTAGCTAAAAATTATTATTATTTGTTTATCCTTTTTTTAGTGTACGGAGCAGTTGCGAAAAGTAAAAACTAAATTTCATATTTAAAAGTCTGTTTGCGTTCAAGAGTGCTGTAATGCCACGGGAGTGTGTATTTTGTCATTTTTATTTCTCATTTTCTTGTAGACTGCTATAGTTTCTATGAATTTTATGTGTATATAGCTATTTATGTACAGATGTCATGTATCGTAAATGAATGCATTTTATTGAATGACAATGTGAAGTTAATAACTCAACCAAACTCATACATTATTGTTCGAAATTCATACAGAAATTCATGAATCTTCATATTTTTCATGTCTTACCGTGAAAAAAAAACTTATCAAGAGTATATAGTATAATTAGAGAATAAATTAATAAATGTAGCTTTGTAAAAAT